AAAGTATTCCGTGAGGGGCTGGGGAAGAGCAGTGACTTGAGGTTCAGACCTCTCTAGCAGCTAATGGTCATAGACGTGACAACGATTTTATATTAGCACAAGGGTTTGATGGCACAAAAAATAAAAAAAAAATTCGGAAGTAGACTTGCTGTACTGATTGCTTTAAGCATGTCTTTCTTAGAATTTCCATAAGTATGTAAAAAAATGAGCGATGTTCAGTAAGATATTAGTTTCTGTCACAAAAAGGAAAGAGAGAAAAGCGAAATAGAGAATTCTTCACATGAGATTGGAACTTCCATCTTGTTGGACTTGCATATAATTTTAATTTTGTTTTGGCGCTGAATTAAATATTGCAAACATGTAAAGTATTATAATTTCTCTCTCTGTTTAACGTACAAGAGAGTTCATTCTATGATAGCATAGAATTAGAAACGATAAAGAGTAGACAGTAAAAAAATGAATAACTAACTATTAAACAGTTGGCTTTACTAGAAATCTACAATATTACTCGCACTTTTCTCCTACAAATATTGTAATTACGCACAAACGATTTTTCATCTATTATCTATTATAGAATTTAGGGTTCGGATATGACTGAGTGGTTGACGTGCTGGATGAAGATCGGAATGTCGATAATTAAGCCGCGATATGCCACTGAACACGCTTCACATTTTCAGCCATGGGAGCGTTATAAATGTAGTATCAGCCCCGTTTTGTGCGCTTAAGAATAAACGCATAGGTGGCGAGCACTGGTGATTGTTTGGTCTTCCTCTGAATAGTATTTCTAAATAAGAGACGGCTGTGTTTCAGCCTCACGGGTCTCTGACCCGACCGTGTTACACGAGGCGATGTTCAGGTGGAAGAAACCAATGCCAAATACAATATAATTCCAGCTGTATACTGGATTTAGAATACTAATGCACCGTATGATTCAAGATAATAAACAGTGTGCATGTAGTAAAAAATATATCATGTTCTTAGCATTCATTACATTTGTTATTCTTAATTATATGAACTTCAAACACGTTAAAACGTATCTTCACTTGATATTAGTATATTTATTTTTCCATCATAATTTTGAAATCTTTTAACTAAATTCTTAAATACTATCTGTATATTGGTTTATTTGGGTTGATTGGTAATACCATGTAATTATATAACTGACAACAAGTTAACTACTAAGGTACAACCATCAACTTCTGGGATTCTTCAGAACTTTGTTCAAAATATACAGGTTTGAAGCAGCACTAATTGATTGAAGTAGATATCCTATTTCTATATGCTTCGCCTTTCTGCGCTAGCAAATCTAAAACTTTCCGGACAAGTTCTAATAAGCAAATGAAATTCGTTAAAGCCTTTAAGAGGAACACCAATTCTCGACATAACTCTTTTTTTTTTTAACTAATTTGATTGATTTCTACAGCTGTGATTTTTTCAAAGTACTGTTGTGTGGATCTTAGTCTCCTTGTAGATTATCCCCAAGATAAGCGATATTGTGTCAGTTAATTCGATACTTTTTTGTTTTGTTTGTAAAACAGATGATACTTTATCACAGTCAATGCTTTATAGATTGTTTTAATCGCAAAAATATACAATGTGCAATCTGCGCTGTGTACACCTCGGATATAGAACCAGGAATCTTAGTGTTATAAGCTCTTAAGCTTACAGCTGAGTCACCGGTGGACATGTTTATTTTTAAAGATACTTCCAGCTTTTGTTCATTAAGTACAATAACTAACGTTTCGTCTCTGGATAGATTTCAGGAAATTTACAGGATTATCATATATTGTTGAGGTTTGTTTTTTGTTGTTGTTTTCTTCAAAACAAGTAGAGCCGACCAACTAAAAAACGGGGTGTGTCAAGTCTATAGTGTTTTTTGTTTTTGATTTGTAAGTAACTAATGGGTATTGAAACCTGAATCTTAACGTCATAAGTCCAAAATATGCAGAGTTAAAGAAAGAAAATCTTGCGTGTATCCGAAGTAACCATCACGCTCAGTTCTGCAATGGCATTTGAACACACACAAACTGAAAATTCTAAGAAAAATCTTGTATTTTAATTGCCAGTAATTTCGTTTGAGATGCACTGTTCGCGACAGAAGCAGGTTTTAAACGTGATTGGATAGTTTTATATGACTCATATAAAAGAGATATAATTATTTCAAGTACTGCTAACTCATTACGAGATCTTTGGGGCTTTAAGTTTCGTACGTTTTATTTATCAAAAAGAAAAAGAAAAAAAGAATGTAATTAAAATAAAACATATCTAATGTCACTAATGACTTTAGGCGGTCACTCTGAAACCTGAAAAGACAAATTAACTGTTATAGGTCCAATTTATGTAAAATGATTTTATGGAATATATCTATGTATATGGTTCAATCATATATTCATACGGTAAACTTTAAATTGTTATAATGGTAATTTCATTACGTATTAATTGTCCTGTTTAATGGTATATCGAAACATTATGATTAAAGAGGGCTAACATTAAAATAAAACTATAGATCTCTAACAACCGCTTTTTCAAATTCACATTGGGAATTTTAATTTCAAATATGTTATAATCATGTTTATTAAAGTAAACAGTTTTTGTATGAAACATTGAGCTAATCATGTTTATTAAACAAAACAGTTTTAGTTTGAAACATTCAGCGCAACACGTTTATTAAACTAAACAATTTTCGTATGGAATATTCACCTTATCATGTTTATTAAACTAAACAGTTTTCGTATGGAACATTCAGCTCGTCACGTTTATTAAAGTAAACAGTTTTATTTTGGAACATTCAGCTAATCATGTTTATTAAACTAAACAGTTTTCGTAAGGAACATTCAGCGCAACACGCTTATTAAACTAAACAATTTTCGTATGGAAGATTCACCTCATCATGTTTATTAAAGTAAATAGTTTTCGTGTGGGATATTCAGCTCATAATGTTTATTAAACTAAACAGTTTTCGTATGGACATTCAGCTCATCACGTTTATTAAAGTAAATAGTTTTCGTATGGAATATTCAGCTCATAATGTTTATTACATAAAAAGTTTTCGTAGGGAACATTCAGCTCATCATGTTTACTAAACCAAATAGTTTTCCATTGGAACATTCAGCGCAACACGTTTTTTAAACTAAACAATTTTCTTACGGAATATTCAGCTCATCATGTTTATTAAACTAAACAATTTTGTGTAGGGAAAATTCAGCTAATCATATTTATTAAAGTAAATAGTTTTTGTATGAAACATTCAGCTAATAATGTTTATTAAAGTAAATAGTTTTTGTATGAAACATTCAGCTAATAATGTTTATTAAAGTAAATAGTTTTTGTATGAAACATTCAGCTAATAATGTTTATTAAACTAAACAGTTTTCGTATGAAACATTCAGCTAATAATGTTTATTAAACTAAACAGTTTTCGTATGAAACATTCAGCTAATAATGTTTATTAAACTAAACAGTTTTCGTATGAAACATTCAGCTCATCATGTTTACTAAGCCAAATAGTTTTCCATTGGAACATTCAGCGCAACACGTTTTTTAAACTAAACAATTTTCTTAAGGAATATTCAGCTCATCATGTTTATTAAACTAAACAATTTTTGTAGGGAAAATTCACCTAATCATATTTATTAAAGTAAATAGTTTTTGTATGAAACATTCAGCTAATAATGTTTATTAAACTAAACAGTTTTGTTATGGAACATTCAACGCAAAATGTTTATTAAACTAAACAGTTTTTGTATGGAACATTCAGCTCATCATGTTTATTAAACTAAACAATTTTTGTAGGGAAAATTCACCTAATCATATTTATTAAAGTAAATAGTTTTTGTATGAAACATTCAGCTAATAATGTTTATTAAACTAAACAGTTTTGTTATGGAACATTCAACGCAAAATGTTTATTAAACTAAACAGTTTTTGTATGGAACATTCAGCTCATCATGTTTATTAAACTAAACAGTTTTCGTAAGGAACATTCAGCGCAACATGCTTATTAAACTAAACTGTTTTCGTACGGAACATTCAGCTCATCATGTTTATTAAACTAAACAGTTTTCGTAA